AGGGGCGTAACATTTCCGTCACACGCTTGAGGTATTCGGCCAATCACAACGCACTGGATAGCTGGCCAATCACAGCAAACCTCACTTTTCAGACGATGAGCTTTGTAAAAATCAACGCGTTTCAGAAAGGCGGGGCATAGAGGAGAAACAATAATGTACAGTATGTGGAAAATAATGTGTTTTTTTAACCTTAAAACGCATAAACACATTTCATTACACCAAATACACAAAATAATGTTCTTTTTAGCGACATAATATAACCCCTTTAAAATAACCACAGCATTAACAACAACCTTCAAATAAGAGCATGAGGTTTATCTGATAATCAGATACATGAAAGTAGCGTTCGTTGCTATAGCAAACAGACTTCGGGCGTTTTCTTTCATAATCATCATTCGCCGATGGAGAGGAAAAGTTAAATACTATAGCATTTTATTTTATGAAAATGAGTTAAGAAGTTTTTGCACTGAAAGAGAAGTGACCTCGCGCTCATAGAATTAAGACGTGCCAGGCTATATCTGCAGCTGTATAAAAAGCAGAATGAACTGAAACGTTAAGACAATAAACACAATAAATAAATAATTTATGAATGATGCAGTGCTAATTGACATATCATTTATTACAGTACAGAAATTATAAAGTATATTTTCTACCTTATTCTGTGCAGAAAATTGTAATAATTGTTTGTAGTATATAAAACAATCATAAAAATTGCCATAAGGAAAAAATTATAGATTACAAATGATTGATAATTGTCCAGCTGCGTATTTGATTTCTTGTAGCAAATTCAAAGTAAGAGATAAGAAAAGAATTCCTTGGGGGAAAAAAAAAAAAATACATACCAAAAATGATGTATTTGACATTTGTCACTTTTGAAATAATGGCGACGCCCCTGGTGTGACAAAATGTTAGCCTGGCTAAAAGTGATCATTTCAGGTCGGACAATGATGAAAAATTCAGAATTTAGAGGAAAATTGGTGATCAACAATCTGATTGTAATCTAATATTATATATATATATAAATTAGGGATGCACCGATACTGGCCTCCTGTACTCCTGTACACACAGCATGTGATAAGCGCCATGTGCCATGCACAGCATGTGATAAGCGCCATATTAAAACAAAGAAACGCCAACAACAGAATAACAGACAGTAGAATGGAGTTAAGGATGTCTACTACGAAGTATATGTATGCAATGAATATAATGTTAAACATTCAGTATTAACGCCTGTATAGCTGATGTGCGCGAGCTGATAAACAAAGCACACTGAGTGGATTGATCGCGCGGCGGTGCAGATGCATGAGCGTGTCGAGTGAATATATCTTTCTCACAGACATCACTGGAAAGTTTGTAGTTTGGTCGGATACGTCAAAAACAAGCAAGTAAAACAATGCACAAATTACTTAACGGTAGGGAGAGAGAGAGAGAAAGCGTGCGCAATTCTGTGGTGTGATCTTTGATGTTTACTCACTTAGCACGCATTATTTGGATTAAAGCTAAATCGTAGCTATAAGACAATTTATAGGGGCATTCACTATAAACATAATTTATTTTCAACCTTAGGCATACACGACTTTCTGGCGAAAGTGAAACTAACAGCCTGTGTGAAATGCGCTAGTCTGTACTACTGTCCTCTCATTCTGCA